CCACTGGTGGAACCTCTTCTAACCGGTTCGGTAGATTTGACGAACCGGTTCTACCGAATAGGTGCGAACTGGTAGGAACCCACCTCTGGCATGCATGTAGTTTAAAACATAATTAACACATGACTCACCCTAAATATTCTTCTCATCCAAGGGTCCTCAAGGTCCATCAGGTTCAGCTGGCTCTGTTGGAGGAGTTGGTCAGAAGGTAAGAAAATACAGTGAAGTTTTTAATCATTTTGTACCTTGTGGAATAGAAAATAGGCATTATCCCTCTGGTGTTCTGCTGAGAAATTGGAGCGTAGCGTCCATAAATCTCTGTCAACAGAAATACATTATCCTAAATATCTACTTTTGAACTCAGTGATGGTTACATTTTAGGGCATATGTGTAAAAATCAATATCTTGTTCCATAAGTGCCCATAGATTAGAGTTTGTTTTGCTGCAGGCAATTGGATGCTTGTGACAAAATGCATTATTATCGTTGCCCAGATGGTTAGGTTGGATTCAACGTTTTGTTGAACTAAACAGATGTTTTGCTGAGTCAGACAGATATTTAGGTTGGATTCAACATTTTTGTCCACCTTAGAGACCTTTCCAAGGATGTGGCATTCAATTCAATTCAAACCTTTATTGTCTGAGGACAACATGTGTACAATGAAATTGGCTGAGCCTCCCTTCGCGCACTCCCCCCCCCAAAAAACACAATACAACTCACAATGAAAGTCAAAAATTCCCTACTAACAAACACTCAGTCCTATTGCACGATGTGAACTTCTTGGACGTCACGCCGGCGTTGCAAGTCAGTCGTACTATATTGTTCCAGGGTTATTTTTCATTCAGGACTCTGACAGCCCACGGGTCTTCAGATGGGTTCTTCAGCCTGTTTGTGTGGCTGCCTATGCTTCTATATCTCCTTCCAGATGGTAGGAGAACAAAGAAGGGTTGACCAGGCTGTGAGCCGTCCCTGAGGATTTTCCTCGCTCTCTAGACAGATGTTGTTTGTTTCAGTATGTTAAAAGTATCATCATTGGATGGAGGTCATTGCAATTGACTGGTGGTAATTTTGTCAATGCCAATGGTATTCAAGTGGTGCTCCAAATAGTTTGAAATTGCACCCAAGGCACCCATTTCTTTTGGTACTATTTTTGCTTTCTTTTTCATAGTTGTTCTATTCCTATTTGTAGATCTTGGCATTTTGTGATTTTTTTTCCAATTGTTTTTCCTTCTATTCTGAGTAGTGCCCTGTCTACTATCAAGACTTTTTTTTTCTTTCTTTCTCATTGATAATTGTTAAATCTGGCTTGTTATGTGGCAGGTGCCAAATTATTAATACTGCCTTTTTATATATAAAATCCCAAGGAAGTTCAGTAGGTGCAGCAGTGTCAAAACTATAGTCACCTGTTCTGACCCCCTCCTCCGTCCAGTAACGCATGCCGAGACAAGCTTAACTGGAATGTCACAGCACTTTATTAGCAAGAAACCAAAACCTCGGTGGCTGAAAGC